CTTACAAAGTTGTTGTAGGAAAAACAAATTAGTGCTAGGAATCCCTTTTAAGTTCTCGGAGGAAAAATAGGCTATATACATCCATCAAGCAAAACAGAACGGTTGGACTCTTGTTGTTCTCATTGGCTCTTAAGCTAAACGCTGCTGTCCCTGCCTCTTTTCACAATACAGGTAGCCCTCACTTAATAATCCTAGTCGGGACAAACAATTCCATCGCTAAGCAAAGCAAACATTAAGGAAAACGTCAGTGACCGCCCCACTTAGTGACAGCAGTTTTGGCAATCTTGGCTGTCCTTGTTCAGAGAATCTCCCACAGTTGTAAAACAAGACACTGTGCAATTGCAACTTGAGGCCTCCCGCTGGCTTCCCCACGGACTTTGCTTGTTGGAAACCAGCTGGGAAGGCCACAACTGGCAATCACATTAACGTGAGAGGATGCGACTGTCTTAAATTCATCATGGTTGCCAAGCACCTGAATCGTGATCCTGTGAATACGGGGATGCGAGGACCAGTCATAAGGTCCTTTTTCCAGTATCATCGTAACTTGGGATAGTTAAATGCTAAAGGAATGATTGTTAAGTGAAAACTACCTGTATTCCTTTTCCTCATGACAGAAGTCTCTGACTTGTCGATCAGAAAGGTCGGCAGTTCGGCGGTTCGAATCCCTAGCGCCGCATAACGGAGTGAGCTCCTGTTATGTGTCCCAGCTTTTGCCAACCTAGCAGTTTGAAAGCATGTTAAAAAATATAAGGAGAAAAATAGGGAGCCCTTTGGTGGGAAGGTAACAACGTTCCGTGAGCCTTCAGTGTTTAGTCATGCTGGCCACATGGCCACGGAGACGTCTTCGGACAGCGCTGGCTCTTCTTCGGCTTTGTAACGGAGGTGAGCCCTGTCCCTTAGAGCTGGGAAAAGACTAGCACGGATGTGCGAGGGGAACCTTGACCTTTCTCAGGAACTTCAAGAACAGATTTAAAATTTCTCTCAGTTACACTTCTGAACTGACTTTGCTCTTGGAGGAGGTAGATGGTGCTACTCCTGGTGTTTTCTATTCCACATATTAGTAGCAACATTCAGTAGAGGTGGTCTTCAACTTACAACAGTGACCATTCAATGGCACTGAAAAAAGTGACTTGCGACCATTTTTCACACTTAGACCATTGCAGCATCCCCATGCTCATGTGGTCAAGATTCAGACGCTTGGCAATTGACTCACATTTATGACGGCTGCAATGTCCAGGAGTCCCGTGATCTCCTTTTGCAACCTCCTGACAAGCAACGTCCATGGGGAAGCCAAATTCACTTAACAAACAGGTAACTAACTTATTCACTTAACAACTGAGGCAGGAAAGGTCGTAAAATGGGGCGAAACTCATTGAGAAAATGTCTCACTGAACGACAGAAAATTTGGGCTCGGTTGTGGTCGTAAGTCGAGGACTACCTGCCTTGTTTCTCAATCTGAAAGAACTCACATTACCTCTTGATGTAAGTTGGAATAGAAGTATGGAAAGCCATGGAAGCTGCCAATGACTCATGAGATGAAACGAGATCTTCACATGCACTCTTAGCATTACATCAGGACAAGCGCAATGCATTCTGCCCTGGAGAATTCCACTGAAATTTGGAAGAAATTTCATTGCAAATTCTTGTGCGTCAACATGGAATGAGAACTGGGGGTGATGGTGGGGGAATTAAAGCAGAAGTCTTTTAATCTATGGCTGTGCTTTAAAGTAGGCCCCGGTTTTATCTCTTTAGCCAACAACAGGTTTTATGTGATTACCCAACTGGATAAAATAGCATTTGAAGATGTTACCTGGTTGGGTAATGAAATGCCTGCAATAAATCAACCAACCTCCGAAAGCACCAAGGTTCCTATTTTTTTGTTTCACATAGCAATAAGACTGCTTTTAAAAGCTTGTGCACAGTAACGAGCTACTGAACAAGAAATACAAAGGAGAGGAAAAATGAAGCCAAGGAGATAATTTTGGCTCCATCCATTCTCTGGAAAGGGGAAACTCTGCACCTCAGAGAAAAGTCACTTTCCCTTCATTAATACTCAGCTTCCTTTGGAAAACTCTTTTGCAGCTGCCAAATTGAGCAGATGGGGAAAACCCTTTTAGAGAGACTTTTTCAAAAGCCAAATCCAGGCAGTGACTTTGGCAGAAAGGTATGCGCAGTGACCACCTATGCACTTCCAAACAAGAGAGGGAATGCAACACCACAAAAGAAGAGAACAAAACCACATGTTTCCTTTTGGCCATTCTAGGCACCAAGATAATTCTTGGTGTATTCATGGTGCTTCTCATTCTTGGATGAGAAGCAAAACGTCTTCAAAGAAAAACCAGAAAGTCCAGTTGCCTCTTGACAAAGCAGCTTTGGGACAGCATAGCACTGACTTGTCAAATTATTTTGTCTCAGTTTATGTGGCTGTCCTATTATGCATTTCTGGAAAACATGCAGCTGCTTTAAAGAGCTGTAGATAAGTGAAACACTTGCTCCACTGTCTGCAGGGCATGATTGAAAAAGTCAAAATGGTGCCTATGGCAAAAGAACAACAACAACAATAACAACAAATGGAGCTTTGGTCACATCATTGTGGCCTCCATCTTGAATATTTTGACCATACCCTGCAGATTTTCCCCGTGTCATTAAAACACTCGTTCTCTTTACATGGTTTCTCTCATGTTTAACTCTCATCTTTCCTCCAGGAAGGATAAAATGCATACAGTAAATATATATTCTTTTACTTTCCTATGAAGCTGTAGATAGGTTTAGTGTTAAGGCAAAAGCTACCAAGATTTTTGTGTGGTCTTTCCAAGCTCAGACCAACACGACTGAATTAATTGTTTAAAGAAATTGTAATCGTGGCTTTTGAAACCTGTTGCTGATTATTGTATAAATGTTGCTAGCATTTTTTTCCAAAGCATAACTGCTTTCTTCAAAGTGGAATAAGCTGTTTCTGCTACATCTGAGAGCAATTCAGTTCATTCTGCTGAGAGAATCCTGGATGCCGAGGTTCCCCTCCATTGCACAAATCTTGATGGAGGACACCACACTGTCCCCGCCCCCCCACAAACGACCCACAAAAATCCAACAATGGATCGGGTTGGGCTTTTTATTTTATTGCAGCTTCGAGGTATCCTTGCATCTGGCAACATCTGCTACCCAAATAGACAACTGTGGGTGGAGACCAAAGGATACCCAGTAAAGGAGAAGGAAAATGCATAATAGGGGAGTATATCTGGATCCATGGTAGCATAAACTTTTCAAACTTAACAAACACTTTAACTTCAAACATAGCTTCTTCCTCTTTATTCTGCACATTTTTGGCCCTAAGTCATTTGTCTTTCGTAGATAGTCCTCATTTTAGGACTGCCTCATACAGCGACTGTTTGCACTTACAACTGTGATTAAAAAAAGTAAATTTGTGACCAGTCCTGTTGGAGATGACCAGGCTGAGCCTAAGGGCGGGGTCAACGCATCTTCAGTTTGGAGTCTCTACTCCCCATAAGAGACCCATAAGACAGCGGTCTCCAACCTTGGCAACTTTAAGACTTGTGGATTTCAACTCTCAGAATTCCTCAGCCAGCAAAGCTGGCTGGGGAATTCTGGGAGTTGAAGTCCTTCAGGCTTAAAGTTGCCAAGGTTGGAGACCCCTGCCATAAGAGACCTATTCCCCATAAGAGACCTACACACACACACACACACACACACACACACACATACACACACACCCTTAGAGTCCATTGATTCTTATCTGTCCCCAATTACTTGTAGAGAATCAGTAGATCGGATTCTTGTGAATAGGTAGCAGGAAATAAATGCATAGTACTTTTGAACTCTATCCTGGCTTCTAACTCCTTACACCTGATAATCCTTACATTTACTACCTTTTAAGCACAGATCAGTGGTTTCAGTTAGCTACTGCTTCGCTTAACAAAGGGAATGGCCAGTCCCAATTGTGGTAGTTAAATGAGGATTACCTCCTTTAAAGCAGTGTTTCTCAATTTTGGCATTTTTAAAATTTGTTGACCTTAACTCCTAGAATTCCCCAGCTAATTATGTCAAGCTGCATGCTGTACCACATCACAGAGAACAAATGCTGCCCAGCAAGGCCCATGGAGATAGTAAACTCCAGTTGATTCAAGCCAGTGATCCAACGTGCATTTGGATGCTATTTAAACAAGAGTTTAGTTTAAATTATTGTATGACTAACATTTTACAATAATGTTGCTGCTGGTTATTAAGGAAATAAAACTATGGTTAAATAAAAGTCGAAATATCAAGAGAGGAGAATATTTGCAGCTCAGCGCTTAACTGTGTGGTGTTTTTTTTGTGCTCTCTGAGCTTTTCTTGCAGACATTTCATTACCAAAGTAGGTAATGTGTGATGCGCTGATGATGTTACCTAGTTTGGCAATGAAATGCCTGCAAGAATACCTACCAAGTGTCAACTCATAAAATATTTATATGGTCTTTTAGAGTTGCCAACAGAAAGGGAGGGGGGAGCAGTGCGGCAGCTGCATTCCATAAATGTTTGCAAAGATAGTAACTGGGTGACTGAAGTTTCTGCCGCGCAAAATTCTAACTGGAGAGCATGACTGATGACTCTTGGCTATGGAGGTGTCCCATTGGAGAATATGAATTATGATACACCCCTGGGGGTGGGGGAAAACCAGGGTCAAGGGTGACAATGAATGATGTGTCTCAGAGTTGGCTACACCCAGGCAGCGCCGAACCTTTTAACTCCCAATAAATCCTGTTGAAGTTTTGGAAGTTTGGCTCGAGACTCATAATTTAAATGAGGTTAAGTGCCGGAATCCTGACACCAAGCTCAGAGAGCACCAAAATCAAAATGATGACCACAGTGATGTCATTGAAATTCAACCTCATTTTTTATTTTACATAATGCAAATGAAAAATAGGCAGAGCTTTGATCACACTGTCACAGTTGTGTTTTGACTTTTTTTAACCACACTCTGCAGACACCTCACAAGTCCTTACCTTGAATCTGGCTCTGAGCTTGTGTACCAAAGTGCCCTGGGCCGCCGAGGGACCCCCGAGAATTGGCCGTCGTAGGAGTGACTCTCATTGAGTGCCGAAGCCTTTCCAGCTCTCCATAACGATCTTGGAATTTTGTTTGTTCTTCCAACTTCTGCCTGTGCCCTGAAAGAAGCAGGGGAGTGGGGAACAAATCAGCAAAGATGCTCAGGGTCAACTCAAAGAAGCCCCCTGACCCCAGAAAAGAGACACGCAAGTAGTCCTCACCTAATGAACACAATTGAGCCCAACATTTCTGTTGCTGAGCAAGGCAGTTGTTAAGTGAGTTTTGCCTCATTCTACGTCTTTTTTTTGTCACCATTGTTAAGCAAATTATTGAAGTTGTTAAGTGAATCATGCAGTTGTTAAGTATAAAAGACTGGCCGTAAGTCACTTTTTCGGTGATGTTGTAACTTTGGACAGTTTTTATCAACTATCAATCGGAATAGAGCTGGAAGGGGCCTTGGAGGTCTTGTAGCACAGCCCTCGCTCAAGCAGGAGATTCTATACCATTTTCAGACAAATAGCTGTCCAATTTTTACTTAAAAACGTTCAGTTAATGAAGCATCTATACTTTCTGAGGCAAGCTCTTCCACTAGTTAATTGGTCTCACTGTCAGGAAATTTGTCCTTAATTCCAAATTGCTTCTTTCCTTGATTAGTTCTCATCCATTGTTTCTTGCCTTGCCTTCTGGTGCTTTGGAAAATAAGTTGACCTGCTCTTCTTTGTGGCAGCCCCTCAAATACTGGAATACTGTTATCATGTCTCCCCTGCTCCTTCTTTCCCCTAAACTGGCCATACCCATTTCCTGCAACCGTTCTTCATATCTTTTTGTCTCTAGGCACTTAATCATCTTACTTGCTTTTCTTTGCACTTTTTCCAAAGTCTCAACATCTTTTTTGTAATGTGGTGACCAAAACTGCTAAGTGAATGATTGTAAATCAAGGATAACCGGTGCTCTCTAGTACAGTCACCATCTGAGAGTTTAATAGGTGGGCATGGATTGGAACTCAGGTCTTTGCAGTCTGCTTCCAGCTCTCTAACCGTGACCCCCACACCATGGCCTTTTCATAAGGTGCAAGAAACGGAGGGCCTGGGCTCCTGGAAGCATCTTGTTGGTTCAATGCCACTGAGTTGCTTGTTGAATGACTTTCCTAACTTCAACCAAGTTCTATTTTTGCTTCCCTTATTGCACGCAACACCTGTATCCATTGCAAGATGCAGCGTGTGAAAACTGTGTCCCTGGAAGTGCCCCAAACCAAAGAAATGTGTCCAAAAAGTCCCATTTGGCCCATGGCCATGAATTTGTGGTGAGGGGAATTCCCTCACAGAGAAATCCTTGCAAAACAGCCACTGCAGTCTAGGCGGCTCAATCAACATTGTGTAACAGAATTAAACTCCAGGCCTTTTCTGATATTGTGGTTAAGGCTTTAGACTGTGGAGATCCGTGCCATAGCCAACCTTATCTGTGGAAGTTTACTGGGAGACCCTGGACCAGTAATTCTTTCTCAATCCAAGCCTACTCACAAGGTTGTTGTTTGGGGAGAAACTGGGGGTGGGAGCTTGCAGCTTTTTGCTCCTGTAGGAAATATAGGGTGTGTGGCTCACAATGAATAAATAAATGCATACATTCTCTTTAGTTATTTTTTTATATGTCTTTTTTCTTGTTTTCAGTGTTTGCAGGTAGTCCTTTACTTATAACATTCATTTAGTGACCCTTCTAAATTACAAAGGCAATGAAAAAGCGACTTATTGCTGGTTTTCACACTTACAACCATTACAGCTTCCCCATAGTCACATGATCAAAATTTGGGCGCTTGGCAACTGGCAGGTTTTTATGATGGTTGCAGTATCCATGGATCATGTGATCACCACTTGTAACTTTTCCAGCCAGCTTCCAACAAGCATCAATGGGGGAAGCCAGATTAGCTTAATAACCTCATAATTTGCTCAACAACTGCAGCTTAACAACTGTGGCAAAGAGGTCGTAAAAAGTGGCAGAACTCACCTAGCCACTGCCTTGCTTAGTGGTGGAAATTTTGGGCTCATTTGTGGTTGTAAGCTGAGGACTATGTGTACCAACTCTGAGCCTCTTCATATGAGCTGAGATATGAAGAGGATCAGAGTTGTAAGCATTTAAGTTTCCCTACAGAAAGCCAAGTTCCTCCTTCCAAGTTCTATTTTTAAACTGCCCAGTCTTCTGTGACTTTTTTATTTCAGAGTTACGGGTACCATTGTGCAAAAATGGATGGAAACTAATCAAGAGGAGAACTAACCTAGAACTAAGGAGAAATTTCCTTTTCAAAAGGCAACTGGGCTTTCTTTGTTTTTCCTTGAACACCGTTTCGCTTCTCATCCAAGAAGCTTCTTGGAAAAACACCTTTGGGACAGCCATGACCTGGATGACTTAGAATCGCCACAGACCTGTTGTGGCCCACCGGCAGCTGGCGGAGCTGGCAGCAGAGTTGGACAGTAGTGAGGAGGTTGGGAAGGAACTCGGGCCAGTCCTGGAAGCTGAGGAAAGCTCGGCTGAGGGCTCTACGTCACAGGCGGTGATGGGGCCAGGGCAGGCTAGCAGTCATCAGCTGCCTTTGGGCTTGGACAGCAGTGAAGTGGGGGAGCTTCTGGAACCGGCTCCCAGCCTGCGTATGCGCAGAGCCGCCAAAAGGAAGGCACAATTAAGAACTCAGGGTTGACATGGGAGTAAGGCCACAGGTGGACGATGAATGGCCCCCTCCCATCAGGATTAAAAGAGAAGCAAAAGGGAAGGGGCCTTTTGCAGGAAACAACTCGCTCGTTCAGTTGTCCGTTTGCTCCAGCCTCGTGAAGATTTGTCTGTATAACCTAGCCCTTCCCTGTCAGCACTGAGTGTGGAATTTTACCTGGCAGCGTTCCAGGATTGATAAAGGCCTGAGCTAATTAGTATACCTTTGCAAGACTGTTTTGCCAAGCCGTTGGCTGACTGTCAGTGAAATGAATTCACATTAATGTAATAAAAGAGGTTTTTGCTGGGACTCAGAATTGACTTAGTGCTTTTTGGGGAGGCCTAGGACAGAACAAGGCCTACCAAGGCCTGTTTATTCTGTGTAAGCCATTCTACCTCCTATCTGTTCAAAGAAGGCAGAATAGACAGCAGAGAAACTCTGTCAGCTAAAACAGCCAAGAAGCTACTGGATTTTTTTTCCTTGGCAGCCACCAGTGCAATTCCAAATGAAGACAGCCAGTTATTTTCAGATTCTTCCACCCCACACACACACACACACAAACACACAACCCAAGGCAAGCACGTCGGCTCCCCTTGGCCTAACGTCCCCTTAAGAAGATCTATATCACCACGACATCAAATGGCTGAAATGTTTTCCATCTGGTAGGATGGATATGAATCTGATACAGCAAGCCGTAATAAAAACATGCTGGTCCTTTGGGGCAAATGTGGAGACATGGCGAATGCAACATCTGATGCTGGAAAGATACCTTTCAACATGAGGAGGGGGGAAAACAGATCTGGATCTACTGTATTTCGTTTAATCTCCTGGAGATCTATCAGAGATTACAAAGGTTGCCTGGTGTCCAGGGGCCTAATGAGAGCAATGACGAATCAACCCCAATTCTATTTCCCCCACATCCTTGTGGTGGGAAAGGAATAAGGAGACACCCCTTCCCCCAGGAAGCCAGCAAGATCATTTATAATTTCCAAAAATTCCATGTTCCCCTTTTTTTCTCTCTTTCCCGCTATGAAACAAAATATCAGGCAATATAATGATGGTGTTGTGCTCTTCCTCTGTTTTTAAAGAAACCCCAGGATGAGTTGCCAACCCACTGCAGCCAAGCAGAACCTTGTTTTCTTACAGGAATGTGCAAAGCTTTGGATTCAGAGGTGGTATTCAGCAGGTTCTGAGCAGTTCTGGAGAACCAGTAGCGGAAATTTTGAGTAGTTCGGAGAACTGAGAAATACCGCCTCTGACTGGCCCCGCCCCCATTTATTCTCTGCCCCCCATGGAGTCCCAGCTGATTGGTGGGTTTTTCTTTTGTAGCCCTGCACAGGAGAACGGAGCTGGAAAGCAGGTTAGTGGGGTGGGGAGGGAATGGGGATTTTGCAGTAACCTTCCCCTACCACGCCCACCAAGCCATGCCACCAAGCCACGCCAAGCCATGCCTGCCAAGCCAAGCCAAGCCACGCCCACCAAGCCACACTCACAGAACCGGTAGTAAAAAAAAAAATTGAATCCCACCACTGTTTGGATCAGATGCCCCAAAGATACCTGGACCTCAATGGGGGTGTGAAAACTGTGCTGGTCTGCATCTTGGCTGCAGGTGGAGGTGTGTTTGTGTACTTTGAAGCTACTTCTTTGCACTGCATCATTTCTTTATTCTAATTTCATTTCTCTTGTCTTGATTTTTTTCTCCTCGACCCTGGGCTGAATGGATGGTTCGTAATAGAATTACTGCCTGAAAATTTTCAGCTAGCCTTTAAATCAGGCTGAATAGTCTCTGGTACAAGTAGTCCTGGACTTACAACCACAGTTGAGCCTGACATTTCTGTTGCTAAGTGAGACATTGGTTAAGTGCCCCATTTTACGAGCTTCCTTGCCACAGCTGTTAAGTGAATCACTGCAGTTGTTGAGTAACACCGTTGTTAAGTGAAACTGTGGCTTCTACATTGACTTTGCTTGTCCGAAGGTCGCAAAACGGGATCACAGGACCCCGGGACACTGCAACCGTCATAAATATGAGTCAGTTGCCAGGTGTTGGAATTTTGATCACAGAACCCTGGGGATGCTGCAACGGTCATAAGTGTGAAAAACAGTCCTAAGTCACTTTTTCAGTGCCATTGTAGCTTCAGTCACTAAGCAAACTGTTATAAGTCAAGTACTCTGTGTGTGTACAGTGCATGTGTGTGTATGCATGTACAGGTACAGTGCATGTGTGTGTATGCATGTATACAGGTTCCACCCTTGATTTACAATCATTTGTTTAGCAACCATTCAAAGTCACAACAGCACTGAAAAAGTGTCTTATGACCAATCCTCACACTTATGACCTTAACAGCATCCTCATAGTCACCTGAAGGTCAAAATTCAGGTGTTTGAAAACTGGCATGTATCTATAATATAATAGTAGAGATG